AAACGCCGCCCCTTTCCTGCTTAAGCCACGCCCACTTTGGGCCCAAACCCCGCCCCTTTTATGCCCAAGCCACGCCCACTTCGACCCTAAACCCCGCCCTTTTATGCCTAAGCCACGCCCACTTTGGGCCCAAACCCCGCCCCTCTGTGCTCAAGCCACGCCCACTTTGGGTTCCAAACCCCGCCCCTTTCCTGCTCAAGCCACGCCCACTTTGGGCCCCAAACCCCGCCCCTTCCCTTCTTAAGCCACACCCACTTTGGGCCCAAAACCCCGCCCCTCTGTGCTCAAGCCACGCCCACTTCGGGTTCCAAACCCCGCCCCTTTCCTGCTTAAGCCACGCCCACTTCGGTGCATAATTCACACACACAATAATGCATAAGCCATGCCCACTTGGCTCTAAGCCCCGCCCCTTTCCGCTCAAACCACGCCCACTTCGTGTCCTAAACACCTCCCCATTACACCTAAGCCACGCCCACTTTGAGCTCTAAACCCCGCCCCTTTGTGCTTAAGCCACGCCCACTTTGGGGCCACAAACCTGGGCACAGTTCTGCCTAAGCCACGCCCACTTCCTGCTCTAAGCCCCGCCCCTTTTGCGCTTAGGCCACGCCCCTTCGGGGCATCCTCACGCTTAAAAACTTCAATTTCTGACCTAAAATCCCCAAATTTTGCCCTAAAACTCCCCAATTTTTGCCTAAAACCCCCAAATTTTTCACGAATCACCCCGAACTCATCCCAAAATCCAAATTTTGACCAAAAAAACCCCAAATTTTTACTTAAAAACCCAACTTTTTGGTAAAAAACCCGTTTTTTCGACGCAAAAAACGCGACTTTCGCCCTAAAACCGCGGGATTTTCACCCAAAACCCCGGGAATTTTGGGGGAATTTTGGGAATTTTCTCTTTTGGGAAAAAAAACCCAATTTTTTCGCAAAAAATCCTGAATTTCTGGGCTAAAATCTTCAATTTTGGGTCTCCTGTAAGTGGCGTCTCCCTGGTTAAAAAACTTCAATTTTTCACCTAAAAACCCTAACTTTTGCCCCAAAAACCCCAAATTTTGCCCCAAAACCCTCAAACTTTTCACGGATCACCCCGAACTCATCCCAAACCCCAAATTTCTGGGGAGAAACCCCCGATTTTTGGTAAAAAAAACCCAACTTTTTGGTAAAAAACCCTATTTTTCGCCGCAAAAACGCAATTTTCGCCCTAAAACCGCGGGATTTTCACCCAAAAGTTTGGGAATTTTGGGGGAATTTCAGGAATTTTCTCTTTTGGGAAAAAAACCCCCAATTTTTCAGAAAAAACCCCAAATTTTTTGGGGTAAAATCCTCAATTTTGGCGCTCATGCAGTTGGCGCCCCCTGCCGGATTCCCACGCTCCAAAAACCTCAATTTTTGCCCCAAAAACCCCAAATTTTCACCTAAAAACCCCCAAATTTTTGGCAAAACTCCCCAAATCCCGCCTAAATTCCCAATTTTTGGGGAAAAATCCCCAATTTTTCTGCAGAAAATCCCAATTTTTGGGCTAAAATTCCTCAATTTCAGCGCTTATGGAGTTGGCGCCCCCTGCTGGATTCCCACGCTCCAAAAACCTCAACTTTTGCCCCAAAAACCCCAAATTTTCACCTAAAAACCCCCAAATTTTCGGCAAAACTCCCCAAATCCCACCTCAAATCCCAGTTTTTGGGGTAAAACTCCTAAATTTTGGGTCTCCTGTAAGTGGCGTCTCCCTGGTTAAAAAAACTTCAATTTTTCACCTAAAAACCCCAATTTTTGCCCCAAAAACCCCAAATTTTGACCCAAAACCCTCAACCTTTTCACGAATCACCCCGAACTCATCCCAAAACCCAAATTTCTGGGGAGAAACCCCCGATTTTTGGTAAGAAAACCCCAACTTTTTGGTAAAAAACCCGTTTTTTCGCCGCAAAAAACGCGATTTTCGTCCTAAAACCGCGGGATTTTCACCCAAAAGTTTGGGAATTTTGGGGGAATTTCGGGAATTCTGCGCTTCCCGAGGTTCCCCTGGTGCTGCCGGTGCTGTTCCTGCTGTTCTGGGCGGCGCTGCTGCTGTTCTCCCTCTGGTCCGAGCCCGTGGTGTGCGGGGTGGGCGTGGCCATCACGGCCTCGGGGGCTCCCGTCTATTGGCTGTGCCTCCGGAAGGGGCGGGGCCGGCGCGGGCCACGCCCCCTGCAGGGGCTGCGGAGGAGGATGGGTGAGGAGGGGAAAGGGTTAAAGTTTGGGGGGAAATTCAGGGGGGAAAATTTTGGGGGGTTTTTGGGAAAATTCGGAATTTTTAGGGGTTTTGGGGGAAATTTGGGAGTTTTCGGGAAAATTTGGGGGAAATCCGGGAAAATTTTTGGGGGGGGGGGG